TTTTCAAGGTCATTCTAATAATATTCAAAGATAGAGGTCATTCTAGTCCAAATCTTTGCTTGACAAGGTCATTCTAGTAAACTACCCTAAATTATAATAAAAAAAAAGTTGAAAATTTAGTGGACATACTTTTGAAAAAATTTCAGAATAACAACGTACAATTTGTAGAAGATGAGAACATAGCAGAAAAGATATTAGTAGATAAAAAACAAATTAAAAAAAATATTATACAATATTTAAGATAAACTCTACAAAAATTTTATTTTTTTAAAACCCTTTTTGATTCGGTTGTTAAATCTAGCTGCCGGTCAAAATTGCTTCAAATGTTGAGCCAAACAAAAAAAAATTGCTTCATTGAAATCAATAACCCTATTTTTTTTTTTAACTCTTCGTCTTCCTCTTCCTCTTCCTCTCTTAAAATTTCCCCTCCCGCTTCATTTTATTAAGACCGAACTGTGTTTGTTCTTCGTCACTCTCAATTCGGATTCGCATCTGTTATGGCTGTCGTAGCGACCAATCCCAAGCGCAAAGTCGAATGCTTGAACTTGCCGGTTTCGAAGAAACGCAGATTCTCCTCTAGCAAAACCCCACTTTCTTCCTCTTCTTCTTCCAATCCTACAATGGCGACACGCTCTGCCTTTGCGTTTCACGCCCATCGCAGAGGATTTCTTCGATTCAGATCATTGGCTTCTTCCTCCGTTTTAAAAAGGAAGAAAAAACATAGAGATTCCAATGTTAATGACCAAGAGGAGAAAAAAGTAGATGATACGAAGACCATTCAAGTAAAAACCCTTTCTTGCTCCAATGTTATTATTGCTTATGGTTGTTTGATTGTAGTTGATGCAAATACCCACCCCCTACTAGAGTATCTTTCCGAACTTGTTTGAGTTATGAGTTTGGTTCTAGGTACATAATGACAAAGCACATTGTTGTTGCTTTTGAAAGTTGGTTTATTGAATTGATGAAGGTTTCTGATAAACCTTTCCTACCGCTCAACGAGGAGGAAAAAGCTCAAGTCGAACGTGCCTTTTCTTGGATAAATAGGTATTTAAGAAGCTCTAGCCTGTTTGTTATGTGATTGACTTGCTTTAGGAATTTATTTAACCGATAATTGTATCGCTCTTTTAGAGAGAAGGTCTTGGTTTCGCATAAACAATCCAACCTTGATATTATTGGAAAATCTTTACAATGCCTAATGCCGTCTGCGTGGCTTAATGATGAGGTTGTTCTTCATCTCTTGTTTTTTTACAATTTTGTTTCAAATAGGTATTTGTGTTTATCGACTGTGTGTGGCTTAACCGATAATTGTTATATTCTGCTCTGTTTATGTTTATATAGGTCGTCAATTTCTATCTCGAATTGCTTAAAGAGAGAGAAGCTAGAGACCCCCAAAAGTACCTCAAGTGTCATTTCTTCAACTCCTTCTTTTACACTAAGGTTTGCTTTCTGCTTTATTTCATATCATTCGTTCGGCCATGACCTGCTTCCGTAGAAGATATTAAGTGCCATGCTTAAGATTTTCTATGATTTCAACGTATTGCTTTGCTAAAACCATCGGATTCGTTTGCCTCAGTTTTGTCTCAGTAATATTCAGTTGTCTACATATGGTTTGTGTCCACCATGAATGCAAGTGACAATTATTAATGTTTATGAATGATCACAGGCTTATGCTTTTTGTCCTTCTAATGACATTTGTTCAGCTACTAGGCAGCTCTGGTTCTAAATACAATTACCAAGCCGTAAGGAGATGGACTATCAAGAGAAAGCTAGGATATGATCTTATTGACTGTCACATAGTGAGCTTTCCCCAGAACCTAAATTTCTGGTTTCCTTTTGTAATTTTTATTACATATGAATCCATTTTTGTTTTAATAATGAACCTATGCAGATATTTGTTCCAATCCACGAAGGTACGCATTGGACCCTGGCCGTGATTAACATCAAGGAACGCAAGTTCATGTATCTTGATTCACTGGCTATGGCTGTTCCTACCAGAATTTTGAATGCTCTGGTATAATTTCTTGATCATAATTTCAAAATAAAAGTTTGGATCTGATGATTGTAAGTAATGCTTGAACCGGTTTCTGCTTCAGGCAAAGTACTTGGTGGATGAAGTAAAGGACAAGAGTGGAAAAGATATTGATGTTAGTTCGTGGGACATTGTGTCCGTTGAAAACCTTCCTCAACAACATAACGGGTACGTAATTCAAATTTTGATATGTTACTGAATCTGAGTTAGGTATAGATCCAGTTTGTATCTCAATATGAGTTATGTTCAGATAAGGAGAAAAATATCTTCTATTAAGGAGAGAAACGTAGCTAAACGAATAGGGCAGCCAATGATTCTCATAGTTTGCTACCTCGATTGCGTCCGTGGTTATCAATCCCAACTGCAACTAGAACTGCTCTCTGTTAAAGCACTTTGTTTTTATGCAGTTAGAGATCTGCTGACACTCCTCTTTTTGGAAAAATATTTTGGTTATATATTCACAGGTACGACTGTGGGATGTTTATGCTTAAATACATCGATTTTTACAGTAGAGGACTGAGTTTAGATTTCTGCGAGGTAATAAAAAATTTCAAGATCTGCATTTGCTTCTGAATCCATATCAATACGGTATCTGAAATCAACAAATATTCAGACGATCAAATCCTATACGGGTCAAACTAGAAGTAATATCACCTCTGCATGATTGTTTAACATTCCTTTTAGAGCAAATGGAAATTGTGAATGGAATGAATAGGAAGTAATGAAGCATGTGTTAAGACTGATTAGGAAAACATGTTTCTGTTTTTGTCTTAATTCTATCTTTTGCAGGAGGACATGCCATACTTCAGGTTAAGAACAGCAAAGGAGATACTGAGACTGCAAGCCGACTAATATTATGGGTCCTTAGATACTATTTAACAAAGTCAACAAGTGATTAAGTAAGCTTCTCAGTACAATCTAATTTGATTTGGCTTTGGAGAATGCTAGAAATATTGGTTCGATTTTTTTGCTAATAGAAACGACAATTAGCTTATTATCAATGGTTTAATGGAAGAGAAATTTACGGGTTTGCTTGAACAGTTGAACATGGTAAATGACTGGTTCTTGATCCTGAGCATCACCAACAATGATACAAAGTAGGTATCATTAAATATAAAATTATTAAAATTTGAGTAAAAAGAAGAAAGAGAKTGWTTTTGRTTGAAATAATGGGGTGTATTGAAATATAAAATTAATAAAATTTGAGTAAAGAGAAGAAATAGTAGGTATTTTTGGAGAGAGTGTATCAATGAGTTGATACTTTTGATATTAAAAAGAGTGTGTTTGAGTGTGTTTTTAATAATTTTATATTTAAATAGAGTATAAAATTAATAAAAGTTGAGTAAAAAAATGAAAGAGAATGTATAAAGTTGAGTAAAAGTAAGAGAAAGTGTGTATTTTAATATTTGTTTATTTAATGATACTCAAATGTATCATGGTTGCTGATGGTAGCATCATTATTGCTGATCTTTTGTGGGTATCATTAAATATAAAATTAATAAAATTTGAGTAAAAAGAGGAGATGAGTTGATACTTTTAGAGAGAGAGTGTCTTTGTATCAATGGGTTGATACTTTTGGAGAGAGTTTAAACTTTAGTTGGGGTGTGTTTAAATATAAAATTAATAAAAGTTGAATAAAAAGATGAAAGAGAATGTATAAAGTTGAGTAAAAGGAAGAGAGAAGGTGTGTTTTAATAATTTTATATCTAATGATACCCACCAAAGATCATCAATACCAGAAGTTTGCTACTCGTATTAGTTTGATATATTGGAAGAATAAATCTTGCTTTAGTTTTGTTACCCAAAATGTATTGTATCTATGACCAATGACCAGTCTCTTAGACTTAGCGAACTAGAGAAACCGATTTCGTCTTGTTCACCTCTACGACCCGTATCCGATCCAACATACGGCCCGCTTTCTCCACAGTAGCCGTCATATTCCGCTACGTGTCCTGGCCAATTGTTCTTGGGATTCTATTCGTCTTTGAGAACGTTCATCGAGTGCTAATAGATTTTCTATCATTCTCTTTCTAGACACAGTTTTGTGCAAGAGAAGAAGACCGAGACGCAGCAAAACTAGATACGCTGCTTTTGTATGTATCCAAGTCATAGTGATGTTAAAATGGGCTGCCTGGGCTCGTTTAGACCCGGCCCATTTTGATCCGGTCCATTTAAGCCCGTTTAAAGCCGGCCTGTTTAAGCCCGTTTATAGTTTGGCCTGCCGGGTGTAGTCGGGCCCGTTTAGACCCGTGAACATATACTTGAAAAAAAAAAGTTTTGTGATTTTTTTTTTTCTTAATTGGTGAATGATATCAATTTATCAATAACAAACCATCGAACAAAAACCTTAGAACAAAACAAAATTAATTTGTACAATTATCCAAAACCTTCAGAAGCGTATTCTTTCAAGTGTCAACACTCTGTTTTTCGTGTAGCAAAACATAGCTTCACCTCTGATTTTCGTGTAGAAAACAGAGACCACCTTGTTTCTTTAGCTTCTCGGGAACGTGAGAAACAAGTCTTCGTCTTTTCGTGCTTCCTCTCCATCACTTTTGGTATCAGAGACTCGTCGTTCCTGCTGTAAATCATGCCAGCAAAACAGCAGAACAAAGACGTTCACCAAGATGATTGGACTGAATTACGAAGAACACTCCAGGAGATGCAGATAAATATGCATACAACCATTCAACAATCTCATGAGTCTTTACAGAGGACTTTACGTGAAGTTGTGACGACAATCCGTCCACAACAACACCACAACACACCTGTTATTCAAAGGCGATGAGGACTTTGTTGATGAAAATCCGTTTGCTCCTCTTCAGGCACACAGCAATCGACCTCGTAATCATGATCATGGACAAGTTGTCAACGACCGACATTGGGAAAACGGATTCAAATCCGACTTACCAGAATTTACTGTTGAAGATCCGATACTAATCTTGTTGTCTAATTGATGGATTAACCACTCATG